CCAGCTTTTCCTCCCCAATGCAGGTCTCCACAGCCTCCTGCCCCACTGCATTCTCAGGGAAGAAGTATTGAAATGCGTTTTCCCAGAAGAGCCTGAGGAAGCCATCCTCCTTCTCCAAAGCTGGGTTTTTCATTCCAATGAATTTTTCAAAGCTGAAGAAATCCCTTGAGTGCATGGCAAAGGATAGAGCACCATGGAGGAAGTCAATGCCCCAGTCTCTTTGAAAAGGAAGTGATGTAAAATCCATCTGAGCTGTCATAATAAAGACTTTACCCATTAACTTGAGTAATAAAGACTTTACCCATTAGCCCCCTCTAAGATCTGGGGCAACATTCTCAGGAATATAATAGTATGACTTTCACCACTTGTAACAAATGCGGTAGCATTGCTTCTCATCATAACCTCATCAATTTCAAAACCCTTTGTTGCAGTCTGAGAAATCTCATTGGAAAAGGATAGTCTTGGTACACTTACTGTGAAGGTAAAGCAGATACCTTTCTGGGCAAACATAGGAACTATTTCCTGTATCAATCTCTCCCCTGTGCCATCATTAATGTAAAGCAACCCAATCCATATCCATTTGAAAGTCAAGAGCACCTGGAGAATCCCTTTGTACTGAAGGTCTATCTTTGGCAACATGCGGTAAAAGAAAGCATCTTGAATGTTGTCATTTGCCAAAGAGGAACCATAGATGACCTGAAGAGAATAAAGCAAGAGGCAAATCCCAAGCTGAAAACACTAGCGTCATAAATTATTTCACTCCCTTACACCATGTTGCACTTAGGTGAAGATTTTCCAGCAATGTGCAGATCTTAAATGCATGCGGATCTGCACAAACTCTGTAGCAAGACAATTGCTAAATGTTTATCCCTTTCCCCAAATATCAGCTGAGATTCAATCATAATTTCCTATGTTGCTTTTATGGAATGAGTTTTTCAGCACATTGAATATTTAATGTCTGGCTTTTTAAACTTCTCCATTGATTTTATAGGGTAATATATCAAGGGTACAGACGTCATAAATATCTCCTTGATGAAGGCTAGGCTCAAGAGATGGAGAATATGCAGCTGCACATTATTTGCTGAAGGAAAACTCAGCTTGTGAATGTGTAGCGTTTCACACTCATGGACAAATTACCTTTTGGCATCATGAAACAAGGAATCAAGGACAAGTAGATTTCTGTATTTACCTGTGGTTTCACCCGGACCTCTAGGGCATTTCTGTTAGTGGTTTACTCTGATGTACAATACAGGCGCAGAAGAGACAATAACTGAGTAATATGGATGTACAGAGCTAACAACCATTACTTTCCCCATGATATGAATTACATGGACATGGAGGATGCATTCCCATAGACAAAGAAAATTAACTGAATCTGTCTGTAAGAGCCTGTAAACAAACATGCACAGTTGTTAACTTCATGCATTCAGATGGACTAGTACAGCTTTTCCCGTCCAGTAGAATGTAAAACGTGATGCACCATTTTAGGCTTCTGAATCACATTATCAATTGTTGGTTCCTTTAAAACCTGCACACTTCTTACCTGTGAGACCTTGTAGAGGCCCAAAATGGTTTCCATATGTAGACAGAGGTCAGATTTTGGTCCTCCTATGATTGTAATCACTTTGTTCTGCCCATTACATTTGTAGTTGGGAATGAAGCTGTTGCGTGTAGAGAGAAGGGCCATTGAAACATGATAGGCCCAGCTTGGAAGGAAATTGTTATTATAGATGTGGAAGCCTAGGGTGAAGTTCTGTAAGATGTGGACATCTTCACTGATCTCCTTTATAGCAAACAGCAAGGCCAGGATGTGCTGGTAATTCTGAGTCAGGATGCTGCATGAGAGAAACCCACTGAATCATGAGTAATATCCTTCAACCATGGAATGTGATGCATTTCAGTTCAATACAATCTGCCAAATATCTTCCTGCATATTATTTGGTCATATGAAAGGAAGGACAAGTAGAGGCATTGGCACTGGCTACTCACCAATTTAAAAAAAGCACAATTCATTCCTAAACATAGTGTGCCTTCTGCCCATCCTGGTTGTAAACAACAGTTTTTTCACTAATTGATTGGAGTGCTGCATGGGATGTGTAATCCTTGGTCTGTTTCTGCCTGGCATTTAGCACGTGTGAATGTTCATGTGGATATATTCATGCTGTGTTTATAGTTTTCTATTTAATGTGGTAACCATCATGGTCATATCAAAAAAATGATCAACATACCTTCACATGCTGCATCAATGATGCAAAGAATGTGACCCCATCCATATTTAGACTGATCTATGACTTCCAACTCCAAACATTCCCCACCGAGCATGAACATTTTAATCTAGGCATGCATAAGATTGTGACCTAAAACACTGAAGTTCTATGAAATACATCAATAAACATGCTTTATAAGAGATGAGGCTAAAATAGATGCTCCTATTTAGAGGATTGCACCAGTAATCACTATCAAACTGATCTCACAAAGGTTAGATACAATGCATTCAAACATTCACAACAAAAGCAAGAGTTAGTTTAAAACAACAATTTGCATCAAGTTCCCCATTGCTACATTAATATCATCAAATAGAATAAGTGCAAGTGAGCACATTAACCTCAGCAAAGGTTCTCCTTTGCTTTTGGAAAGCAATTGGAAATCTCACAGCTTGATCTGTCATGAGTTAGCCAGTGTTAGATACCACATATAATACTGTGATGGTTGACATCAAATGTATCACCTCAAGGTCAACTTGATTTAACCCTGGATTCAGAATACAGACAGAAATGTCCCAAATATTACCCGAGTCCTTCTGCCTCTGAACACTACGTTTGCTAGGAAGTCCTCCACCTATTGTAGGGCCATGGACCACACAATCCCTGCTATGCCTTTCAAAAGAAATGAAATGATCACTCATGCTGACCTTTTCCAAACTGATGCATTAGATATAGAACACACTGCATCGACATATGCCTGAGAGAAGAACTCTCAATACTATTGCTCTCCAAACTTCTTTATTCAAAGCCTAAGATCATCAACATAGAGTTATTTGAAAAACAGATAAACAAATCTGTCGTTTCAGAAGAATCATTCACAAATAGGCAAGAGTCATTTTGATTGTGATGGGTAGAGCATTTCCAAATCAGGTGGAAAAGGAATTCTGCATGGGATCTAGTCAAAAGACTGCACAAGTGGAAATTTAATTCTGCAACTCTGTGTGTATGCGCATGAGTGTGCATAAACGTAAGTGGGGAAGCAATGCATTGCACAAAGAACAAGAAGCTTGAGTGCACATCTTTGTTTATGCAGGTACACAGATCCAGACTTCCAGCCCAATAGCTCTATGTTATATTTCTGTTTTATATTTTTTATCTATGCATTTCATTCATTGAGCTTGAGAAGAACTCTTCATTCCTTAAGAAAAACAAAGAAGAAAAATTTGGTTGAGTTTGTTTTTAATATTTCCATGAGCAAAGCTCTGCATAGTAAGCTGATCTGTGTCTGAATATCTTCAGCAATGCAATGAAATATGTTGGTGATGGGGTTATAGAAAGCACTAACGCAGAAATGTAGCACTGTGAGACAGTTTTTTTACCATCATTACATCCATCATATTGCATGTTCATTACACTGGAAAAATTCAAGAGAAGCACATTTAACGTGTTCTCCACACTGTGGTTTTCAACATCAGCCTTAAATTTAAAACTAAAATAGTTCATACATTTCTCATAATCCCCTTCCTATTGGAAACAAACTTTCCCAAGTGATTTCCTGTTTTCTACCCTGTGTTCTCTTTCTTTTCCCATCACAATGGCATTTCTGCCAAAGTTGTAATCTATTAGCCAAGCGTATTCTAGGGAGATTTGTTCAGAAAGTCCAGCTTGTAAGAAAGAGAAGCCATATGTGAGCAAAAAGGACAAACAGAGGGTTATATGTAGGCATAAGAAGGTTAGAACAACCTCGATGTATCAGACAGAACAACCTCGATGTATCCATCTAGTCCAAAACTATGGACAGATGTATTAATAGACACAACCATGAATTCATTCTGATAATGATGAAACTGATACTAAAGCAGACACAGGTCAGTCTTTTCCTTATACAAATATGTTACAATTTGCTTTTTACTTTAATCATCATGATAATCACCCTTTTCTGGGA